TTTTTTTTTTTTTTTTTTTTTTTTTTTTTACATATGCCTGTAGGGAGACTTCCCCTTGCTTCCTGTCCCAAAGAACAGCAAAAAGTACCAGGAGATCTCCCAAAAGCATGAGGATATTCACACCACATTATGGCCACAATTTCCTATGCTCCTCAGCTCCATCTCGTGTCCATAATGCAGTGCACATCTAAAAGTCAGATGTTTGCAGAGCAAATAGGTCTGCATCTGTTTTATAAATGCACCCCGTAGAGCAGGAGTGGCCAAACTCCGGCCCTCTAGCTGTGGTGGAATTGCATCCCGTGAGGCACTGCAAGATTCTCAGAGCCATGGAGACAGATGATGCATGCTAGGATTTGTAGTTGCACCAAAGCTGGAGGTCCAGCGTTTGCCCACCCCTACCTTTTTAGAAGTATGTAAAACTGAAACATTTTTGCATAGAGTGAGGAAGGGTTGGAACCTCTGTCAAGGTATTTTTTGTTTTTTTGTTTTTTTTAAGTGTATTTCCTGGAGAGATTCAACCTCTTGGTCCTGGTGACCAATATCTCTTGTACAGGAAGTAATGGGGAATCAAAAATTCTTGAGTTGTCACAGGAACAAAGGGTGAGGGGAAATCTTTCAATGGGTAAAGCTAGTCTTGGGGCATCTATCCAAGAGGAAATATCCTCATGCTTTTGGGAGATATCCTGAGGGCCCTGTCACACCACCTCAGGTGCGATTTGCTGCTGGAACTCACTGGAGCGTATTCCGGCCAGCTTCCTGTGTTCGAGGGAGTGAGCGAGACTGTGCCAGTCATGTCAACAGGCATGCCCACAACGCGATCACCCGCACAGGAATGCCCTCCGTTACAAGTCAGTGCGATCTAAACAATATAGTGCTTGCGGCATTTTGTTCAGATGGGACTGGAATGCAGGCATCGTTTTTGCCACACGTTTTGGTGTGGCCGATCGCACTGATGGCGTGGCTGCTGTGCCATTGACTCCAATACACCGCCACACCCCCTCTCGCCCCTGAACGCAGGAAGCCGAACAGGATGCGCTCCAGTGTGTTTAAGCAGCGAATCATGCTGGAACGCACCAAAACTGGTGTGAACCGGCCCTAAAGGGAAGTCTCAATAGCGGCGAATAAAAAGAAGCTGCATTAGCCCTCGTTCACACCTGAACGTTTTGTAGCGCACTCGACGAACGCTCTACAAAACGCTCAAAAATATAAATCCCGTTGTATTCAATGGTCTCGTTCCCACCTTGGCGTATTTCCGCCCGTCCCTAACGCGCTACAAAACGGCCCACGTCTGAAAAGGTACAGGTACTACTTTGGGCCGTTTTTTTTGCGCGTTTCCATTGGGATACAGCCAAGTAGCCTTCGGAATCGCGGTAAAAAAACGCGTGACAAGACGCGGATATGCAATACGCCTAGGTGTGAACAAGACCTTATTGTAATGCTGACTGGTACATCCCTGATCTTTTAGTTGAGCTATAGAACAAAAAGTTTGACAATACAGCCATCGGCAAACTTTCTGAGGTTTAACATGTGAAGTTTGCTAGAATAATTTCTGTGTATGGCTAGCTCAATTAATACAAGCACTTCCATGGGCAGTTATAGGATTTTCTGTAAAAGATAAAATAAAGCTATATAGACCCAATCACCTCTCATTTCTGTTTATTTTGCTCCATGTTTTTTCCTAAATGCTGAATATAAACTGCTTCTAGATAAATTGTCTATATTTGTGCTCTGTTATAGATGTTCACAGGCCTGAGCTTGCGTGTGTCTAGCCATTTTAGTGTTCCAAATTTTGTCCGTTCAGCCTTTTGACACAGGCTACGTATATAAACATACAATGCATTGTGTTTTCTTCAGTTGGATCATGGGAACAGTTTGGCTTCTTGCGTCTGTAATTAGTTTACCCACTAGTTTACTTATGCCCGTGGGAGTACTGTCTTGTTAATCAGCAGGAGTGCCTCACAGTTGCAGGCTTAAGAAAGTAAATGATGTATAGAGATTAAACCTGTTAAGATAGCAATCAATCCTTTAAGACATCTATCGGTGTTTGGTTGCTTGTGGCAAATGATGAAGATGATGGAAAGACACAGGAAAGTACTGGTCTATTACAGGACCTATAGGCGTTAAATGATAACACTAGCCTGCAATATTTGGCAAGATGATATGGCAGCAGAGGCAAGCGTGTCTGTGTTTTTGTACCTGTGTGGTGTGAGACATTTCATTGGTTAGATCATTTGTGAACCTCCCTTTTTTTTTTGCATTTCCTTTGTACTATTAGTTAAAACGCAGTCCTGCTCGTTTAGAGTGAGCTCTGAGGAGTAATAGACTTTCCTATTTGCAATAAACAGAGTAACCTACAGCAAATTCCCATTGGTTAGAGGACAGTTATGGGCCTAGAAACTCTAACAGAAAGGCAATGTGTCAACTGTAGTAATTAGGAGCAGATAATGTGTCAACTGTAGTAATTAGGATTCACTGTCCTGAGTGCTCTAAACCAAGAATATGACTTTTTAAATACCGTGGGTAACTCTACTTTCACTTTATCACTGTTTTTGTTGACAAGCTGTAAGGATGTAACTCTACTGCTGTAGTATATAGCAGGGGGAGGCAAACTCCGGTCCTCCAGCTGGCCCTCTAACCACAGTTAGAGGGCCAGAGTTTGGCTACCCCTGCATTAGGCATTGCAAGACTGTGATGGCTACAAGCAGGACTCCCAGAGGCAGATTCATGATGGGATTGTAGTTTCACCACAGCTGGAGGGCTGGAGTTTGCCTACCCCTGCTGTATAGCATGTGCATGTGTTGCCCATAAGGCTCAAGCCAGTATTGATTTGTCCCGAAAATATGTAAAATAACTTGGGAATATACTATCCTTTTCTAGAGGCAAAAGTCCTGCTTTAACTTTGAACCGTAAGCTGATCGACTTACGGGTCTAGGTTCACTCCTTCCATACAGCTTTGGTTCCTGTATCGCTAAAGGAGAGAGGGAGATCTGCACCTCTGACTAAAAGCGCAAGTAGTGTGTGTGTGGGGTGGGTGGGGGGAGCCCTCCAGGTTTTGTCACAAATGTGATAGTATGCCACATATTAGCACATTATGGCAGAATTACTATCTTGGTCATCTTCTGGGTTCGGAGCCTTTGGCAGGGCCAGATGAGGTAACTCCTGAGCATGCACATGGGAGTTACCTAATCTCGGTAAGAATCTTGAAAAGAGAGTCTATGACAGAATTGATTTACACAGTCTCTATCACATTAAGTCTGCCTGTCCGCACCTTTTTTATTTTAATTTTAAATCCACTTTAATATAAATATTAAACCAGTAAAGTGTTTGGCACACAGGTGTCAGCAGGTAAGGCCAAGGGACTATAATAGGGCCATCTGTTGTTCGTTCTAATCCTGGTCATAACTTCTGAAGCTACACTGGTTCCATCCCCAATAATTAGTTGATTCCACAGGGGTGGCCTAGGTAACAGAAATCCCACATGAAAATATAAGGAGCTAAATTGCAATTAGACACAACTGCAAAGGTGAGAAATGTTGGCTCAATTGCTAGCTTGTTGTATGCATCAGAATTTTGATTGTGTGTTTTGAAAGCTGCAGGATGAAAATAAGAAAGCTGTAAAGAGGTTAGATAGTCTTGAAATTACAAGTGTAGAAGGTATGAAAATGGCAGTTTTTTTTACAGTCAAAGCTGGACAGGACAATAATGGACTTTTAGCAGGGTAGTTGCTAAATGCCATCATTGTACTGCATCTAGAATTACCACAGACCGGATTCAGCAGATCTATGACCCGGTTTCAAACAAAACTGCATGTTTTGTGGATCTTGAAAAGCTGGAATTTACGGGATCCATTGGAAACCCGTTAGTTTTTAGTCCAACACCCCACATAAGAGGGTTTACATTTGGAAAGAGCCCAAGGATACATTTTTTTACCTGCTTTGGACCTGCTCTGGATCTGCACGCTGCGATGTGAACTGGAGCTAAAAATATCGGAATACATGGGACGCAGTTTTGATCCGGTCTGCACCTGCTCTGCTCTGGACCTACTCCGCGCTTGGTGTGAACTAGCCCTTAGCTTTTCTTTTACTTTAAACTGGCTATCAGAAAGAGAGAACATCTGGGCTACCACTGCTAACCTTTCAGAATATACTAGTTGTCTGGCCGCAATGCTGATCTTTTGATATCCGTGCCTTCTGAGTCACTGATTCAGAACTGGTATTCTGCCATTACAAACAGAACTCATAATCTGTAAACTTGTTCTGGGGCAGTAGCTCACACTGTTAAAATAGTGAATCAGCATGTTGAGGCAGTACTCTCTTGGTTCTTTGGAGTTTGAATTGCTTGCTATAACAAGCCTCCCTATTTGGTTATGTACAGTATGGAGTTGTGCTATTATTGCTGTTCATCCTCTGGTATCCCTATATCAGATTTCAAGAGCATACTCTTTTAGAGGGTGCCTGACAGTTAAGTTGCCATTGATGGGTGTGGTTAGACAGCCTATGTGTCTGTAAAGCACCCACTGTGTTGACAAGGGAGTATTATAGACATGTGAGGAATCCTACAGCTAGGTCAGCTGTCTGTCCTAGGAATGAAATATTCTATATATATATTTTTTTATGTAATATATATTATTGATTGCATTATAATGTTAAGCTGTATATTTGTTCCTTTCTTCAGTGTGTGTGTGTTTTTTGTATTCCACTGAACAGATTGTACCATAATTCTCCTAATTGGCCCATGCTGACTTTAATTCCGCCTCATTAACCAATACTTCAATCCCGTTGCTTCCAAGTCTGATATGCTTGCAAAGCAGATAGCCTTGCAATGAGAAAAAAAGTCACCTAATTTTTTTTTGTATGCCGTTTTGTGTTCCTGGTATATTAAAATGTCACTGTCAGGTTCTCATCACCCTCTACATGTTCCTATGAACAATGACAGCATATGTGTCTAAGCTGACTTTGCTGCATATTTGTGTAGCTTTGTAGAACACCGCTCTCCTGCTGGACTTCCATATATAGAGACTTACTTTTCTTGCCCAGTTACCTTTCCGTATTTTGCGTGCATCACCAAGATGAAGATTGGAAGTTCTATAGGTAATAAATGAGTGCTATTAACCACTTGCTGTCTGGAGCAATTTCTTACTATTTGCATGCACATGATAAAATCTGAATTTTTGGCTAGAAAACCGCTTCAGACCCCCAAACAATGTATGTTTTCATATATTTTCTGAAAGCAGAGGCCCTGTAGAATAAAAAGATGCTAGTTGCAATTTTTTATGTCGCATGGTATTTGCGAAAATGTTTATCAAACCAGTATTTTTAGGATAAAATACACTAAAATTAAATTTAGTGCACAAACCGAATACCCAATTTTTTGGTAAAATATAAAAGATGGGGGTCACCTCTGGTAAATAGATATCAAACATGTGGAGCCTTAAAATTGGCGCTTGCCCATGAAGCCACAAAAAAATGAAATACCCCAAATTTCCCATAGGGGACACGCTAAAAGCTCATCAGTTTAGTGCTTACAGTGACTATTGGCTCTAGAATTATTGCTCTCACTCTGACGTTTGCGGCAATATGCAACATGTGTAGCACAATTTTTGTTTTTGCACATAGGCACTTTCCTTTTTTTACTTTTATTTACTTTACACTAACTGTATTGCTATCACATAGGGAGCTAACAAGCCCTTATGTAATAGCAGATAGGGTGTGACAGGTCCTCTTTAGGGAGACATCGGGGGTCTGCTTCCCCAGCTTCTTCTCCTGGCTCTAAGAGCCAGAGAATGTACACAGTGACACCGGAAGTGATGTAATACACATCACCTCCGGGTCCAGTGATCGGAGGAGAGATCACCAGCTGGAAGGCTGCTGCTCTCTCTCTCCGATCGTTGCAGGGAGACTCACCGTGCTGGTCCTGGGTCCGCATGGGGGACAGCGGAGCCCAGGAAAGCTGGTGGGGGCAGCACATGCCACCAATCTGTACAAACGATACAGGTGCCAGATCACTTGTACCTGAACAGCCAGCGCCAGCTGTTTAAAATGACACCATGAACACGGCAGCAGCTGTGTTCTTGGTACAACCACTTCTTCGGGCTGCCGTATATTTACGTATTGTGGTTAAAGTGGCACTAAACTCAGGAGTTAGATTTAAGAAATGCATTCAAGTACCTTTTAACTATTCTCAAAAATGGAACAAAAGAGCGCCTCCATAGTGTAAAAATGTTATTTAATAGTAAAAACACGCAGCTCTAAGGCTGTACTTACAACAGTTCGGTAGAATAAAAAACAGTAGAATAAGGTGAGAGGACGGAACCCCTGGCAGGGAGAATCTGGAGCGATGTAAAACACCAGTAACCTCGATCCCTGTATTGATAAATGGTTTACGCGTTTCTGGGGCATGCCCCCTTCATCAGAACCAATCTGCGTATTCTCAAAAATGTAGCTCATTTGTGTATCACTCAGCTGTAGAACCTCAAATCCTCTCTGAATTGGTGCTGACATCAATACTTCAGGAGGGTGGCTACTTTTGTTCCCTATGGTCCCTGTGTGTTGTAAAGTAGTCACCGCGCCAAGCTCGCTCCCGTGATGGACTACAATCTCATATTTAGTTTACTAATTTGTATTGAGATTGTAGTCCGTCACAGGAGTGAGCTTGGAGTGGTGACTACTTTACACACACACACAGGGACCATGGAGAAAAGAAGGTCTCGAACAACCTTTTTGTGGTCAATAATTGGCCCCCCTTGTATGGGAACGTTTACGTTTGTGACCTGCTTTGTATGAACCAGCATATAAAAAAGTCTTGCCCAAGCATTCCATATTCCCATCAGAGACTGGTTTATACATTAACCGAAATTTTGGACTATTTGATATTGGAAATAGTTTGTTGAATGAAAACCACTTCAACTGTTAGAATTTTGTTCGATTGAGAAAAAATTTCCATCCTCCTTTTTTTTTTTTATGGTGGTTTTTTTTTTATGTTTGATGGAAATCTATCCTTGCGAATCTCATTGACTATCAGAACAAATGTTCTAAAAATGAATTTGTGCTTGTAGATAGTCTGTCTGAAAAGGCTTTGAGAACATTCCCCAGAAATCACAAGGCAGGGAGCAATTAAACCATTTAGTCTCTTCCCTGCTGATCTGTGGTAAACCACTTCTGGCTCTGCTGTTTGATGAGGTCACGAAGGAAATTGTCCATGTGGGGACAGGTATATTAAGCATAGTGATATGCATGTAAGTGGTAGTCTCAGCAGCAGGAGGATGTTTACTTTGGGTTACTAGTTAGGGGAAAGGCTGAGGTTAATACTGATTAAAGTTCCGTAATTATTTCCTTACAGCGGGATCTCTCCCCACACCTTGTTAACTTCCGCAAATCACGCAGTGAAAGTGTAAAGCAGCAAACAGACATTGCCTTGTTTACACATTGCGGGGAGGAATTTTGTGGGAAGTGCTGGAGAGGCACATACAGAGTTTTCAGTGTTTCCTATTTCCGGTGGAGTCTTCCAGATAGCCTGCTGCTGGAATGATGCTGCCTCATTTACCATACGGATCTCAGATGTACTAAAGACGTCTTCTGAAGTACAGCATATAAAGTATCAAGAAATAAACTTTTTTCACTTTTATTTTAGCACCAGCAGCAAGTGGTACAGGCTGTAGAACGTGCCAAACAAGTGACCATGGCGGAGCTGAATGCAATCATTGGGGTATGTTATCTTTTCTTCGTGTTACAAGTTTAAACACTCTCTCTTTTCCTAGTAATATTTCCAATTACTTTCATAAAATCTATATTTTACAAATGCACCTTCAATATAATGTGCATTCAGCACAGGGTGCTTCCATGATATGTTGTCTGCAGAAAAGGATTTGCTTTCTGTTGGTAGTGCGTTCTACAGAGATTCCATATCTGGTTTTATGAACTAGAAAGGCAGGGCCGATGCTTCCACTAGGCAAACAAGGCAGTCGCTTGGGGCGCACTGCTGCCTAGGGTGCAGCCTCGACTACTCGGCTCCCCACCTCCCCCCCCCCCATTTCAAATTGCAATAGTCAACAGCAGGCTGGCTATTGCATCTGCCCACTGAGCAGAGGAGCGGAACTGAGAGACAACTTTCTCTCTCGGGTCCGCTCCTCTGTTCAGTTGCTGGGGTTTCAATAGCCAGTCTGCTATTGGCTAATTAAAATAGCCAATAGCAGTCTGGCTATTGTCCCGGCCACTTACATCCATCTATGGCTTGTGAAAGCTAGCCGGCAGGAGAATGGGGCTACGCGTGCGAGGGGATTGGAGGCTGTGCTGGGGGGGGGTGCAAGTAGCTGGTTTTGCCTAGGGCGCAAAATGGTCTAGCACTGGAGACAGGGAGAAGGCTGTGTACCTACTCTGACTCATTCAATGGTGTGTGTGTATTCTAAAAAGCGCCACAGCAGGAAATTATTCTCAACTGTTCACAGCATATATTTCTTTTAATACATGTTTTATATCTGCTTAGAACATATTTTCAAGTCCAAGCATGTTTTGCCCTTTTTGATTATTGGCATACAGCATTGTAAAGGATATCCAAATGCAATTTCAAAAAACGTGAAATGGGTATACAAGTGCTGGATGGCCAAGCAACCAGGCCTGACTGTTGCCACACTGGGTGGAAGGGAGGGTTCTTAGCTCTTTGTAGCTCTGACCCAAAACTTACACGGTTTGTTTTTGGGCTCTAGAAGGGAAAAAGTGCCAGGGGTGCAAGAGAGTCTGCACAGCGGCACAAAGAAGGTTAGCCAGTATTCTGATACCATCTGACTTTTGATGGCAAACAAATTGAGAGGAATCCACCAGTCTGCTGCTCCTCCTTTAGTATCCAATCGCAGGCTGGGAACAGGGAGATGACCAAGATGTACTGTTTAACTACAGTCAAGTCAGCAGTCTGGCTCTGTTGTCTGGCAGATGTGAATATTGGGATTGGATGGACTAAATTACAAACACTTTGGAAGGTAACACATCTCTCATTTATTTAAACTGTGTGTTTAGCGGTTTGCTTGGATATCAGCCTTAAGTGCATTTTGGGTAAAGTGTGAGGTGACATCACAGCTGGAAAGAAGTGCACGTTTTCTTCATTAACTAAAAGCAGACAAACATTGCCGGATATTCTTTCCACCCTTACCCCCTTCACTTTATGTAAAAAAACGAAGAAATATAACAGCACAGTCTCCCCCACAAAAGCACAGTTAATGGAAGCCATGCTCGCATGTTCTGTCAGACTGTGGATCTGGCCAGTCATTTTGTTTACATTTCCGATCCAAAGTAAAGCAACAATGAAATATTGTCTGTTTCACATCACAATGGCGAGGTGAGAAATCATGATTTAATAACACATTATTCACATCCGTAATTATACAGCTGGTGCAAGCCGCTAAGTTATTCTAATGAAGGCACTACAACTGTACTTTTCTTCTTCGCCCCCTCCCAAATGCTTTTTCTTTTGTGTATAGATTATACATAAAAGTCTTTTCCTCTTTTATTCAGTGTATCAAACACACTTTGAAATGCTAATTATTCCATTTACTTTCATTAAAATTCAAATTGCTGAGTGAAGATGTGGATAAGGGTCGCAGAATAATCAATCTGAAGTGAAGATATTGCCTCAATTATGCCTCTGTCTTTAACAAGGAAATCAGCACTCTCTGATCCTTGCTGACGGAGGTAGAGTGCAATGTTCTGATTGTGGCCTGCATTTAATGGCCTATTTCTTATTCTGTTTTGTGCCCCTTTGACCACAGGAGAATACTGGTAGTCAATTAAGGGTTATAAATGGAGAAAGAGTAACCTTTTATTTCCTGTGAAGTTCCCCAATAAAAAAGACAAATCTGAGGAAGCTGTGTTCAACCATGAATAACATTTGCCGCAAGCTCTTCCTGCACATGTAGGAGGTGAGGAGGCTGTTCCTCTTTACCAGATATATAGATTTTAATCTGGTTAAGAGGGAGGATAGATACTGACACGACGTCTTGTGTACCCTTAGACTATTTTTTTGTAAACCGCATTAAAAGCAAAGATTGTGGCTGACAGAGGTATAAGCACTGTCTAATGACTAAACTGGCGTCTTTAGGGCTCACTCAATTGAGGAGCATCTTCAGGCCTCACACTGTTGAGGCGCGTCTTTAGGCCTCACACTGTTGAGGCGCGTCTTTAGGCCTCACACTGTTGAGGCGCGTCTTTAGGCCTCACACTGTTGAGGCGCGTCTTCAGGCCTCACACTGTTGAGGCGCGTCTTCAGGCCTCACACTGTTGAGGCGCGTCTTCAGGCCTCACACTGTTGAGGCGCGTCTTCAGGCCTCACACTGTTGAGGCGCGTCTTCAGGCCTCACACTGTTGAGGCGCGTCTTCAGGCCTCACACTGTTGAGGCGCGTCTTCAGGCCTCACACTGTTGAGGCGCGTCTTCAGGCCTCACACTGTTGAGGCGCAGCCTCAAGCATATCCACTGTAACTCAAAAATGTAAGGCTTGTGTATGTAATATAACTACTCTATGTGCATAATTGCAATTTACTATATTTCCCCTTGATGCCACCTACAAGCAAGATTTTCAAAATGCACTGAAATTGTATAACTTCACATATCTAAAGCCTAAAAAAAATCAAAAACCTATGCAGTCAATTTCAATAAGTCTATGTGAGGACACATCATCTAACACTATAATAATGCAACAAAAAATGCACATATTGGTCTCCATGTATAATGTAGGTAAAAGTGCTGTACACAGACACATGAAGTCTTGAACTGTTCCATTTTGGTTCCCTACATGCATGTGCTCCTCAACTAAGTGAGATCTTAACTTTTTTCTTGGGGTAAATGAAAAAAAAACAAACAAAAAAAAACACTCGGCAAGGGTGTTAACTGTCTGTCTATGTCAAGGGCTAACGAATGTCCAAAGGTCCCCTAGACAAAAACGAGCAGTTAACCTTTTCAGTGTGGGCTAGTGTGTGGTTTTTTTTTTTTTAATTAACTGGAAATGGTCCAAAATGCAGCTGTCTAGACAACTAATGCATCTGCAAAGTGCCCTCTTTATCCACTAGCAGCTACAGAAAACATTTATTTTAATGCCTCATCAATTTTCTGGAAAATTGACATCTTATGGCCCTGTGATATCAACTTAGCGTCTTTTAAAAATCCCCCAGTTTTGGCGACCAATGGGAGGAGCTAACAAGGTGACCTGCATGTATTACTTTTCGCAGAGGTGTGCCCTGACGGAATACAATTTTCAAAATCCCTCCCCTGATCAGTCAGTCTCTACCCAAAGAGTTTCTGCTTACCTTGTTTGCTGCCTTTAGTGACTCCTACAAATCTTGACATTTTAATAAAACAGCAAAAAATATTTTAAGGTACTTCAATAATAACTAAATGTGTTCAATAAAAATACACTTTTTATGTTGGCCTTAAATGTATTTGAACTTCTTTTCTTGCAGGTGCATGCTTTAAAGTGCAATAATGCATAAAAATAAAAGACCAAAGCTTCATCTTTTGTTACTTCCTTTTAAAAGAAAGCTTTGTTCTTTTCATTGTTTGTTTTGAGCCTGTTTGGAAGAACGTTTTTCCCATTCTTCTCTTCTATATATATCACCAGAGCTGTGCCTGTGTACCATATAGGAAGAGCCAACCTCAAGTGAGCTACAGACTGGGCCAGTGGAGATTCTCTTTTTCAAAGGGTTTTCAGGCCTTATTTAGCCTCCTGTTTATAGACCTCAGTAGCTCAAACTAAAATTGACACAAAATATACTTGTAAAGTTAGAGCAGTAAATTATCCCCTTTTGTCCCTCTCCCTTCCTTCTGATGGCTCTGTATCATGTTTCAGAGACCGAGAGTCTGAGTAAACTGCCTCTACTGTGTTGTGGGTTTTTTTTTTTTTTTTTTTTCATACCGTACCTAAAAAGTGGCACAAAACCATTTTTTTTTCTACTGAATCTGGCTATATACTCTTTCCTGTTTATCTTGTAGTTTATGCTGTTACACTCCATGTGATGTGGCTGGTACAATTCTGAGGCACTTAATTCCCCATCAAGAATATCAGCTCGTCCCAGCACTCTTCCTCTTATTTCAGTCTGTCATTAGGTTCTGCCTGACTAAATGAAAGTGGTAAGGGCACACAGATGAGTAAGCTGCCTTTTTTCATGGTAAACATATGGATCTGGGCAGGTTTTATAACCTTCCTGATTGATTCCCCCTCTTCAATCAGTCACCAAAAAGGATTGGGAAGACCCACAGACAGATCATCAGGTGACTAACATCTACCGATGGATTAATACTGCTCTTTTGGTGATCTTGCCTCCTCCTTGTTTTAAATGAAGGTCTGTATGTTTTCCCTTCTTAAAAAGGCAGGAAGCCTGATATTTTATCTGGCTATTTTTTTTTCATGAAAAAGATTCAATATTATACTGATTAATTTTAAGGTTCTTTTTGCTTTAGCCATCCAAGCAACTATTGAGCCACACATTGCGAACATGTTTCTGTGCATTACTATGCAATTTTTTTTTCTTCTTCTTGAGCCTGCAATTGGAACAGATTGCATGTTCTGCACTGTTGATTCTCATACTGCAGATCTTAAACAACAATTTGTTTGCTTGCGGTGAACAGGTTTAAAAACAGAATGTTTTCCTGAAACCTGTAAAGATTTGGCTGTTGTGTTCTTTTTTTTTTTTTTTCTGTAATAAACAATGCCATTTCAGTACTG